GGCTATTTAATTTTATTTTCTCTTTAAAAGTGCACCAAAGCCTTTATTTCGAACGGCGTGTATTGAAGGAGCCAAAACCGGGATTTTTTTACCTATAAAAATGTACTTTGCAACCTCTAGGTCCATTTTTATCCTGTGTGTGCATGGGGTTTCTCTTCATATGAATTATATTTCATAATCCACGGCTAGGATGCCMTGGAACAGGTTTCTTTATGATGAAAAAAAAAATACAAAAGGAAAATGGGGGAAAAAAATCCGAGGTGGAGGGTTTTCATTTCAGACACATCCTTTTGGCTGGGGTAACGTCTATGTCTCTTTCTACGGATGTTTGTGCAATTCAGCTGGTGATYTAGGGGAAGGTAATACCAAATATATTGCGGTGGTATTTGGTAACTGAGAGATTTCCGTAGCCAGTGCCGTAGGAGCCCGAGTCAGCCATGGCAGGGCGAGACCTGTTAAAACGCTACCGGTGGACGGATGGCAGGTTAAATATTGTGCAAACGCTAAGCGCCTCTGCAAACTTTAGGTACCATTTCTAGAAGAGCTTGGATTGGGAGAGAGAGAGAGAGAGAGGAAAAAATCTGCGAGATGGGGTGTCGTGTTAGGGCACCTGGTCAGCGTGAGCCTGGCAGTAGCTAATATCTGCATCCCACCCCATGCCAGCGATGTTTAATACCCACATTCCCCATATCTGCCAGCCGTCACAGATGAGGAGGGTTCATGGCCAAGGGTATACTCTAACAGCCTGAGGTATTTTTGATTTTTTTTTGTTCTTCTTCTTTGATTTTGATAGAGGAAATCAAGTCTGATACTCCAACAAGCAATTGGCTAACAGCAAAGAGTGGCAGAAAGAAGAGGTGTCCTTACACTAAGCACCAAACACTGGAATTAGAGAAAGAGTTCTTATTCAATATGTATCTCACTCGAGAGCGCCGCCTAGAGATCAGTAAGAGCGTAAACCTCACTGACAGGCAGGTCAAGATTTGGTTTCAAAACCGCAGAATGAAGCTCAAGAAGATGAGCAGGGAGAACCGAATCCGAGAACTGACCGCTAATCTGACCTTCTCCTAAGGTGCCCCGGGCGGGCAGCGAGCAGGGGCCGCAGCACCGCCCGCCGCTGCCGCAGAGACTCTGGCAAAAACCTTCACTTTCCATTTTATTTTATTTTTTTTTTCTGATAGAATGTGACTCTTCGTCCTTCTTTTAGCGCTGCAAGTGAATATGTATTACTATGACGAGTATATATAAAACCTAGCACGTGTAATTTATTTTTGTTCTCATCGTAATGCAGGGTAACTATTATTGAATATTATCATTTGGTCTTAACTTATTGGAACTGTCGAACATCCAAGCAATGTGACTTTTACATGTTTTTACTAACAAAATGGTATTTATGTGGGGCTATTACACGGGCCATAACATTTTGAGTACATTCAATACCTTAAGAAAAAGGGGGGAAAACTTCGGGGAGGGGGGGAAAGAGAAGCACATTATAATGTAACTATCCTCTCAGATGAACTTAGAGATTGTCCTTCGTAAGATGGAATATTTCATTCTTCTCCATTGTAGACATTTTCTTGTGGTGCATATGTGGAATAGTAGTCGTTCAACAGCAATATGTCCTTCTGTGCATGTTCTATTCGCATGTATAATGCAATAAACTCTGTAAACTACTGCGGTTCCTTTGGTTTTCTACAAACGTTTAAAGTACAGATGCAGGCCGGCTTCCTGATCTTTCTTTATCAGTAGCTCTTTGGACTCATATACTTTTTTTCCCCCTTCCCTCCCTTGTCTTTTGTGTGAGTGTTTTTCTTTCTT